TGAAGAGACACCGGTCTCAACCTCCAGGTCTCCTGAGTCAACGCGACAACAGACTGTACATAGAGTAGATTGTTACTTGCCCTTGAATAAATTTGTGCACTAAATTTATAGTGGGTGATTTGTGCCACATGAAAACCAACATAGTACAAAAAGTAACTGGGCGCCAGATGAAAACATGAAAATACAATCTACCACAAAGTGGTTTGTTTGTTGCATTTTCATGTTTTTGCCCGGTGCCCTTGATGCAAAAAATACAAATCAGCCTTCATAAAATTTCTTATGTTGGTCACAGGTTAATGAGTTCTGGTCAAGCTCAAAGTTTTTCTCATCCTATGACTGCATATAAGCATGAGTTCAATTTCCTATGCTCTGTAACATAAGAATTCACGACCACAAATCGATATAGTGGGGAAATATGTTGTGGTTTAGAACTGTTTCATTATTAAAGAGAAAATGTGTAGCAGGACAGATAGCTCAGTTGGTCTTCTGAAAGTCTTGGGTTTGAGTCATGGTCAGGCAGTTTCAGTCAGGGTTTAGAAGTGGTTTTTCAATTGACACATGTTTGATTCATTTAACAGATTGCATTATTTGAAATGGACAAAGGCAGTATTGCATGATACTTTTAGATCTACAAAGGGCATTTGATACAGTTGAACACACTATCCTGCACATGAAGAAGTTGTTTTTCTTCTTCTTCATGAAACTTCAAGCATCTGCCATATATAATGACATTCTTACATGGTTTAAGTCTTATCTCTGATAGTAGCTGGTTGATGTGGCTGGTACTTATTCTACTACTGCTCTGAGTACCTATGCTGTCCCCCTGATGTTCATTTTAGGTCCTCTTTTATGTTTAATATATGTCAATTACATGTCTTCAACCCTAAGCAATAAGCTTTTATTATAATGCACAGGCACGAGTATCAGACCTTGGATGAAAAAATATGGCCAGATTGATAAAAAAACTTGTGTTCATCTTAAAAGTGTCAACAACCAAAATAAAAAGTAAATAATGACCCCTTTAAAAATATACTTCAAGTTGATAGTATATTTTAAAGGGGATCATTATTTACATTTTTGTTTTGGTTTTTATAAACACAGTTTTTTTATCAATCTGGTCATCTGGTCATATTTTTTCTTCCCAGGTCCGATACTCGTGCCAGTGATCATATGCTGATGACTCAGGAATCCTTGTGTCTCATAAATGAAATCTGAAGAAATTCTTTCTTATAACATGAGTCTTATAAGATTGCTTAATTGACTATAAATTGCCTTTGCATCTTGGCAAGACAGAGTCTATTCTTTTTTGGTTTAAGTTTCAACTTAACCTGGCCATAGCCTCCAGGTCACATGTAATGGTACTGCTATAAAGTACACATCTTCTGTTAAGTATTTAGGTGCAAATCTGGATCAAATTCTTTTGGCGTCGCCCTTTGATGCTTTGCATCAATGCTTTTCTTGTGTTTCTTTTGTCCCAACAATGACTAGTTCATCCATCGCTCCAAACCAACCTCAATATAACAATATCAGCTGGGGGTTTCATTGCTTTCTGAAATCATCAATTCTCAGAGATCATTACAACAGGTTTATTCAGTGCTGCTGAAATAACTTAGCTAATCTATACATAATCAAAGATATTATCAATCAAGATATAAAGTATATATGGATTTTATTGCAATTTATGTACACATATGTCAAATGCGATATTTTAACGTTAGGTTATAATCAACATGATAGACATCTAAGCAAAAACAAGACGCATGCTATTTACGTAATAATATCAGGAAACTATCAGACAATTCAGGTTTTATGTTAAATAAGGAAGCCCTAACTTCAAGCATTCATTTTGACACAAAATAAATCAGAGTCTATATGTGCAAACAGTATGTTAAGTGAAAATGATTAAAAAGGATAATTAAGTTTTGTGCAACATAAATTGCACGTGTAATCTAATGTTACCATTAACAGATTAGGTTTTCGCCTTGAAAATAGATATACAGTAAATAAAAAAACAAATTTAAAACTTAAGGAGAAAAAACATTGGGAAACTGAAAACTTTGAGGTTATTTTCAAAAGAACTTTGGGCTAACGATACTATTAAGAAATTCAAGTACATCCTTTTGTAGAACTTATCTTTGTCAAATATTCTATATTCCATAAATTCCGATTCCACTTTGTCTTGACATTTTTGCAAATACAATGACATGGATGAGCACTTATGCAAATCTTTTTTTTGTGGTTTATGTTCATATTATGGCCATATATAGCATTTGATACTCTGTAAAGCAGCAGATTGTCTAGCCGTTTCACCTCGGTGACCTCTGACCGCTTAAGATGGCCGAGTGTTAGGTTCGGGATGTCTATAAGGTGACCGTTGGCCGCGGACAGCAGGTGACCGCTGAACAGATGTATAAATTAGTCAGAGTTATTTTCGTCGGGCGTCCTAAATTGGCCTTTTAGTCAGGTGACCGTTGGAATGAGATGACAGGTTAGACTGTTCATTACTTGTCTACATATTCACAAAATCGATTTAGACAGTGTTAATTAACCAAGAAATATTATTTGAAATAAAAATAGAGAATAATGGAATCCATAAAAAACGCCCAAAACGACAAAAATGAAAATGTTGCAGTCTCTTGATGGACGGTACTGCGAAGTACAAGTTACCGTTCGAAAGCTTCGAACAATTTTGTACTAATTTCAGAAAATATAGAAAACAAGATCAACAAGGAAAGGCGGCGGCGTTCAATGAAGGCAACCCCAACACGACCAACGAGGACCCAAAACAAGAACAGATAGACAACAACGACACTGCTATTTATTGAACGTTTAGAAAATATAAAGGATTTAAGCATTTCATAAAAATGGTCCATTAAAACTCAGCAACTCATTCCGAACAGTGAATAAATAAATAGTGTTTAATATTTAACTCTGTTATAAAAACGACTTGTATAGTAAATCATTTTGAATGAATCATATATAATATTCAAACATATTATAGTTATATCATTGTACAATATACATATATGTTGGTAAACTGAAATTGCAGTACATCTAATAAATAAGATTATGTTGTTATTGACAATTTTAGTGAATAAAGTATCGATATTTAATTTACACCCTAAGGCTTAACTGAAACTGAAGGTATTTCAGTAAAAAGACTTAAATATCAAACTTATTAACATTTATAACACAGTTCTGTCCGCTCACAATGATGTCAATCATTTAAGTTTCACATTAGTGCCTGCTATTTTATATAAAATATATAACATATATTTTATGTTAAACCCGAAAATGTATTTTTTTATTAAATCTACCACAAACACAATTGTCGTCTTTTACTGCTCCACACCTACAACGTTTATATGTTAATGTCTCTTTAAAATAAATCGTGTAACGAGATCATAACATAAACCTTTCAAACAGTAATTACATAGTATGTGAAATGTATTTTATATTACCTAGTATGATGATAATAGCTGTAGCACGACATTTTATGGACTAAATATTCTATATAAGGGTTTATAACTCACTGGTCATAATTTCTATGTTTCCCTTTCCAACAAAAGATATGAATGATTGACCTTTTTTTATTGTACAGCGTTTGTTTTTGCCTTTATTGTTTTGTACCGTTTTGGGTTTGTTGTAATTTCCTTTTCTATGCGCCAAATCGAGGGGTTTTATTATTTTGTCAAATTATTGTACAGAGTTCAATAACTTATCATACAATTCTTTGAGTTAGAAACATATATCTAGATAGAGTTATGTAACTCAATAATATATTGTGTTGATACATGTATGTATTTGCTATCCATGTCATACTAAAAAGAAGTTACACGGTCCGTATATTTGAATATCAAATATGATTAACACCAGCTCGCTCTCTATAAAATGTAGCCAAAGAATGTCCAGTGTTTGCACTATGTGATTCACAAGTCAGAAATAAAATATTGACTTTAAACATGCCAGTTTAGCCGCGATTTCATTTTGCCAGTCTAAAAATTCCATATCTAATGACAATTATATTCCTTCAAGCCACGTTTTTATTTTCAGTGTTCAACATAACTCATAAACTTCTTTTTGATGTTCGGTTAAAGTGTAAAACCTTTGATGGTGAGTAATAAACATATCATTATACATTGTTTGTTAATGTGGAATGTATTGGACTCGTACATATATCCAATAGCAGAACCTATTTGAAAATTGGCGGACGCCACGTTCGAATAGCTATCATATCCGACAACAACAACACATTCTTAGCAGAATGAAACAGAATTAATAAAACATAGACCGTCCTTAAAGATTTAAGTGATAAATTATACACAATGTGTGAGCTATCATACCGAATTGTGCTTGTGGCACATTGAATAGTTAAAGAATTAATGACTTAGATACATGTATATATATCCGGTCTCCAAATAAAAATGCAATAACTTGAGAACGTCATGTTAAGTTGGAGATTGCATTATGCATGCATTTTTTATCATGTTTAAAGAAAATAGCATTTATATTAATACAGATCATTGTCTTTAAAGAAAAAGACTTAAACAATTGAGTTCATAATTTCTTGTTCAACTGGTACAATATTTTAATTTGCGATTCATTTGAAAACATATAAAATGATTTTCATGAAATATTGGAACATTGCATTACCATAACATATGACGTATGTTTTATTTATTTATTAAGTATGTTTATCGGTTCATAAATATATTCCTTATTAAGTTAACACATCTTTAAATAAATATAGAACTGGATTGTGTTTCACTTAAATTTAACAAATAATGTTTGTGTTTGAATGTATGATAAAAGTTACAATAATACCAACACATTTTTTTGGGGGGTACGTATATAATATTTTAATGTTAAGCGACATTGCATACATTTAATCAATAATCATTGTAAAACTAAAACATTCTTCTTATCCACTTCTATTTCAATTAAGAATTTTCACAACTTAAATCTCTGCAAAAAATAAACAAACAAAACAAATTGGAAATGTGTTTGTTTCAATTTGATTTTCAAATTGTGTATCATAGGAGAAAGATTTAGTAGGAGAAGAATGTTTAAAGACACTGTCTTCCATTCGAATCCTGTGTTCTTAGAATACTTAAAAATATAATGTTTTGTGTAGCTTGTAAACTGTAGTGATTGTAAGATATAAATTATGCATAAATTAATCTCAAAGCTAGGACACTACATCATCGTACACCTGAAAAATGCTCTAAATCGGACTCTCTTTTTGTTGACTTAAATGTATTTTTATTCTAAGAAATCTTTGGAATATTACAAATGATGTAGAGCGCCAAAGATTGCTGCAAGTACTTGACATAATTTATAAATAATGCGGCTAAACATGTCACAGACTTATGCGTGTATTTTGTTAAACAGTTACGGAAGAAATATTTGATAACAATACCTTAACGTGATATTTCACCATTAAATGTTCTTGTAAATAGATATAACAGTTGCAGTATTACATTTTTATTACCATTATGTCTTGATTGTTTTTTGTCTTCCGAATTTAACAACTGAACGAAAATAATTATAATCACATAAACTGCATTTCATTTCACTTTGTCGTTAGAAATTAAAGATATTGAATCAAAGTCATGTTACTGGTCAGTCTTGTTTGACACATCATGTCAGAAAGAAAAAGGTATCGCACAACATATATTTACATCGGACTATCACCGTACGATTTCACAGATCCACTTAGCCTACCACAGAGAGTCGCTTGTGTTGTAGTGGACCCTAATCGTCTACATTTTATGTATGACCCATATCTGCTTTCATTTGAAGAATGGCAAGAAAGCATCTCAACTAAGGCAGTGCGAAAATATTTACCAGTTATACTGTACAAGAAGAAGTTTATACAATAATTCATATAGAAAATTGTTCGTGTTATCATTAGGACGCCACTCCAATACTCGACATCAGCTGCTTTCCTGGTTCTGGATGGGCTGATTTCAGCAGAATGAAGGAAATTCCGTGCCCAAACAACAGAATATGGTAAGTTAAATGCAACAAAGAAAAACGAAATTGCCAACAGTATAAGAGTAAATTCTAATCTTATTGTTGAATTGTCTGAAAAGATACTCCTGCTTTCTTTATTTCTTATGAAAAGTTTCCTAACAATAAGGATGTTTAAAACAGTTATGATTGTGAACGGTATTAAAGTTATCGTGATGGCAAACACTCCATCAAGAGCGAATGACAGAAATTTATACTCAGCATTAGCAGTGCACACGGTTCTATTCATTTGCGTGTACTCTCCGCTCAGGATAGGTTTGTACAAAACCAACAAGCATGAACAGGCAAACATTGTAAGTAAGATCTTTCCAGCTCCTCTTTTTAAACTTTTTAGTGGGTAACACACTCCCATAAACCTTTCAATAGTGAACACTACAATAATCCAAGAAGACATCAATCTTGATATATAAGCCATGTACAAAAGAAGCTGACATAATCCATGTCTATTAAGAAAGGATACATCCGTTTCAGGACTGATGTGTTTTAATCCTCTTCGAAGCCATTCCACTAGCACATAAAATGTCAGAGAAGAAATATCCGACATTGATAATGCAGCTAAATATAAACTTGCAGACAACTTTCTCATCTTTTTTGACCTGAATACTAGCAAAGATAGGATATTTCCGACGACGCCGATGACAAAAATGATTGGTGTAATATAGGAGAATATGTTTGACCCAACTTTATAAACGGATGGTTTATTTCTTAAAGTGACATCCTCGTTACAGAAGTAGCAGTCAAATCCGACTTTAATCCCAGACATGTTATCTGACGTATTGGATTCCAGTGATGTTGAACGAATTGAAAAATTCTGTAAAGAAAAAATAATTTTCAATTTATTATTAATTATTTTATTTCCTGTAAAGAAAAAGTAATTTTCAATTTATTATTAATTATTTTATTTCCATATGTCAATATTTTCCATATGTCTCCAGCAGGGGCTTGACTCAATGAAACATATGGATAAACCGCGTTATAAAACAAGCGTTATACGTATCAGGAAATACCAACATGGATTGCCTTGTAAAATAAACCTTTACAGTTCATTTTAACCTATGGAATGTAGAAGTACGAAAATGATCAAAATCGGAATACTGTTACAGAGAAGTGATAATTTATATTTGTGAAAATTGAGCAATACAAAACGCCCAAGCTGGTAGTCTTAGTAATACTTTGTATTAAGAGTGAGTAAACAAATTTCGAATTGCTGAAATTTAATCATCTACTAGGAGACGTTTTAATATTTTTGAGTATGCATGGTGGTATTTCGTGTTGTTCACACGTTATATCATGAGTTGATGTATTGAGAAACATAATTATAACTATTGTCCTTGCAATCTTCCAGCAATCTAGACTAGACTAAATTGAGACCTTAAAGGCATGCTATGTTGACGTAATAACTTTTGACGTTGTCGGTTCAAAGCCATAATCAACTGAAAAGTAGATACTCTAGAAAGAAACTGTATAACAAAATAACCCATTGATTTCTTTTCTCTATTTATTTTAAGGAATGACTATAAAAAACTTCAGCGATACTAGGGAAACTGTCAACGCCTTTCGTGTTTTCAGTGGTACACGATTAACTATTGCAGTAATAAATTGAATAACGAATAAGTAACTTTTGAATGGAAGTACATGTAACAGGTAATTCTGAATATAGAAAGTGAACAATAACTTAATCACTTCTTTCTACACAAGTAGCTCATATGATATAAGAATAAAATATTTAATTTAAAGTTGTATTTACGAATTTGATATCAACAACAAACTGTTAAAGTCGGACACATTGCCGTATTAGATCGTTTTTTATATTGATTGCCAATGACTATATTTTCAAATATTTAAGTAAATGGAAAGTAAGACCCAAACTTCAATTGCACATGTTTAATAATTTTGGATTGAAACTTGTTTATAGGACTTAGTGCAAAAAAATAAAAAATAAAGTTTCGCATATTTAAGCAAGAACATTTCAATAGTCACCAACTTCACCTTTTTGGTTTGTGTTTGTTGTTTTGTATTTAGTTGTTCTTTTTTGTGTGCGTGAAAATTCTTTTAAAAAGATAAGATTCATATTTAATGAAATAATTTATATTTACTAGCTATTATTTGTAACATTAAAAAAGTAAATAATTATGTTGTTTAATAGATAGATGCCCCCAGTTTACTAAGATGATACCTGAAAGAGGAAAATTTTACATACTTTACAATCCAAATTTGAGAGTGTTCCTTTTTTTAAAAGTAAATGTGAGAACGGTATTGGAATGTTATAGTATAACTTCAATAAGTAATAAATAAATAACTTATTATATTTTTATTTCATTAAAAGGGTTTATAGTAGGTACTTTTAAAATCTTCAATAAGTGTAAATAACTTAGTAAACAACATTTAATGTATATATACTTACAAAGTTGTCTAATATATTATCTAAAATTCCATCCATCTTTAAAAAGAAAAACAATTATAAAAGATTAATATTATCAATAAAATCCTTGTAATTCTCTCCACTGTGGTAGTTTTCTTTGAATGATATCTATATATTGTTTATTGAAAATCAGTTCCGATTAAATACTTTATAACAAGTATCATTTTGTTTAAAAAAGTTATATAAACTATGGTTTTCTTTCCTGTCATCCATATTTCATCATTTCTCCTCCTTTACGACATACAGAATGATCTAAGTTATGAAACAAGATCAACTATTGGAGTATTTCAACAGTTAGCGAATAGCAGTGTTTCCAATACCCTCCTTTAGTATCTCATGTCACAACATTCTGAGTATTTACAAGTGACATTGCATCTTTTAGAACATAATACTTAGAAGGAAATAGAACTAGTTCAAAATGTTCATTTTTTCAAGTAATTTTCAGACTGACTGCTTGGTAACGTAATGTTCTGAAACTTAAGTATTGTTTTGATTATTTTTCTCTCCAAAACAAATAACGTACACATTCTAATGTGATCTTTTCAAACACATGATGATGAAAATAAACATTACATAGTAAATGTTTTCTTGTACGCGTTATTGTTCTTTCTGTTCTTTTTTTTTTTTTTGGAGAATCACAACTTTTACAAACTAGAATTTTGGTGATTTTCAACAGCATTGATTTGTTGTTAAATGCTATGTTCAGGCATTATGTAATATGATCGATATTCAAATATCAATTGTGCACACAAATCACACAATGCTTAAATTGCTTATAATGTAAACACAAAAATATGTTTACAATTGTTCATATCATCAATTATCATTGGAAATCGATTTTGTTTCCCTTCTCAAATATTGCTCAGAATGACGCATTACAAAGTCAATTTAGATATTTTTTTTTTTCATTTCAATTGTGTGTTGCTTTGATTGACAATTTAAGTAAGCCTATACATTGGATTTCGTAGGTCTTTCTCGTTAATGACGTCTCGTTATTAATCTAGCGCACATTATTGCATTATTATTTAATTTGATAGTTGCGATGTTATACTAGTTTTGTTCAACATTTTTAAATTATTAAATCTTTTCTATCTTAATCTAAAATAACACACAAAGTTACATAAATCACCAGAGACCGTGAATTTACTTGTTTATGTATGGTACTCATTAGCCATCTGCAAAATGAATATAAGCTTGTTCATACTGTAGTTAGCATACAGAAGCGAATATTTACAGTTCTAATATCACACAAGTTGATGCATTATCTGACTATACAGTAATAAATATGCGTTTATTCCGGCAAATTATCGACATCTTTACGTTAGATGTCTCGACAACATTTGCTAAGAATAATTTAACGAAAATGTATGTATGTATGTATGTATGTATGTATGTATGTATGTATGGATGGATGGATGGATGGATGGATGGATGGATGGATGGATGGATGGATGGATGGATGGATGGATGGATGGATGGATGGATGGATGGATGGATGGATGTATGGATGGATGTATGTATGTATGTATGTATGTATGTATGTATGTATGTATGTATGTATGTATGTATGTATGTATGTATGTATGTATGTATGTATGTATGTATGTATGTATGTATGTATGTATGTATGTATGTATGTATGTATGTATGTATGTATGTATGTATGTATGTATGTATGTATGTATGTATGTATGTATGTATGTATGTATGTATGTATGTATGTAAGTATGTATGTATGTATGTATGTATGTATGTATGTATGTATGTATGTATGTATGTATGTATGTATGTATGTATGTATGTATGTATGTATGTATGTATGTATGTATGTATGTATGTATGTATGTATGTATGTATGTATGTATGTATGTATGTATGTATGTATGTATGTATGTATGTATGTATGTATGTATGTATGTATGTATGTATGTATGTATGTATGTATGTATGTATGTATGTATGTATGTATGTAAGTATGTATGTATGTATGTATGTATGTATGTATGTATGTATGTATGTATGTATGTATGTATGTATGTATGTATGTATGTATGTATGTATGTATGTATGTATGTATGTATGTATGTATGTATGTATGTATGTATGTATGTATGTATGTATGTATGTATGTATGTATGTATATAATACGTACGTACGTATGTATGTATGTTGACGTGACAACACTAACAATGATGTTTTAACCTAAAAAAATAGCTTAAAGTTACATTAAATAAATATGTAAAAATATTTTCCGTCGGCCTAAAAATCAAACATTCTACAGTTTCATTAACCTGTTTAAACATTTTGTTGTAAATCTCATCAAATATTGTTCATAAATTAGGATTTTTAACGGGAAACCCCACGGTCACACTAAAGTTCGTATACGAATTTTAACATGCAAATGAAGACTATAATGAGATCGTGTATGCGCTACGTCACAGTTTATAGTTGCTATCCGGAACACAGCAAATGTGATATTTTCTTGTGCAAACACACTTTAACCGTTTAAGCTTCACGGTGCACTAAACCTGGTGTTCAGTAAAAGTAATCATCTCGTAAAAAGATTAAATTTGTATGAAAACTTCCGTTACAATGCGGAAATATACCGTTGAATTAGGACTGCAACTTATAGTCATGTTTGTTGATTTAATATTGATGTACGGATGATCCGAAGGCGGAGTTTCTCATGCAAACAGAAATTGTACTCCCCATTTCTACGGAATGCCGTTAGGGCCATCGCCTATGAATGTGTTGATCTAAAACGCGATAGTCGATAGTACGATGGTGAAAACGCGAAATCACGAAACTACGATGGTGAAAACGCGAAAGCACGATGATGAAAACGCGATAGTACGATGATGAAAACGCGACAGTACGATACTACGATGATGAAAACGCGATAAACTATCGTGTTTTCACCATCGCACTGTCGCGTTTTCACCATCGTAGTTTCGTGATTTCGCGTTTTCATCATCGCACTGTCGAGTATTGCGTTTCAGATCAAACCATTCATAGGCGATGGCCCTAACGGCATTCCGGAATGCCGTTAGGGCCATCGCCTATGAATGTGTTAATCTGCAACGCGATAGTCGATAGTACGATGGTGAAAACACGAAATCACGAAACTACGATGGTGAAAACGCGATACTACGATGATGAAAACACGACAGTACGATGATGAAAACGCGATAGTACGATGGTGAAAACGCGATAGTACGATGGTGAAAACGCGATAGTACGATGATGAAAACACGACAGTACGATGATGAAAACGCGAAATCACGAAACTACGATGGTGAAAACGCGACAGTACGATGGTGAAAACACGATAGTTTATCGCGTTTTCATCATCGTAGTATCGTACTGTCGCGTTTTCATCATCGTACTTTCGCGTTTTCATCATCGTGCTTTCGCGTTTTCACCATCGTAGTTTCGTGATTTCGCGTTTTCACCATCGTACTATCGACTATCGCGTTTCAGATCAACACATTCATAGGCAATGGCCCTAACGGCATTCCGTACATTTCGCCACAATGAGGTTACCTATTTTTATGCTAATAAAACTCATTTTGGTTGTTTGGACACCAAAATAAGACCTGGAGTCGATATAAAACCTAATTTATTAATGAAATGTCGCTATTTAGTTTTTTATGAAATTTATTAAATGTAACTTAAAATTAAAGCGCTGTGTTCACAGTTACTTAAATTATCGTCATGTCTTTGTGTGTGTGTGCGTGCGTGTCTGACAGTCTCTCTTTTGGGCTGTCTGTCTGTATGCATGTTGGTAGGACAATACGAGCAATGATATATTAACAAAGGTTCGTTATCTGTATTTTTAATGCAAAATGTAGAAACTGTTGGCACTCCTACTTTGAGTTTCTTCAAAACATATTTAAATCCTTTTTTAATATTGTATAAATCCTTGCATACAGTATACAGTTCAGTATGATTTTAATATCATATGTAAAAGGAATATGCTGTCTTGCACTTGAGTTTTATTGAAATTGTTTCAGTCAGGGTTAACTCGTAAAATTCAAACCGTTCATCAAATTAAAAACACATTCCAGCAGGTTGTTATTAGTACAAGCAATCTCTCCTCATTACGAATCAATCGCATCATGCCAATGTATCATTGTTCAACTGATTACAATACATGGATTAAAGTTCTTTACACTGTGAGTTTGCACTAGAATCGCTTATTGTATGAAGTAAAACCGGATAACACTGTGGGCCACATATGATTTTTAAACCGTATTGAAATTGCGTACCTAAATGACAGAGGTATTGCAGCTTTCCAAACGTAGTTTATACATTCTCATATGCATACAGCTATGATAAATTCGTTAACAAAACTCGATATGTTGATATATAACTGCAAACAAAAGTGCTTTACTTAAAAAAGTGCATAATATTTTTTTAACTTTTGACACATTATATATGGATTTTGCATTTTCTTTTTGCATAGTTATAGGTATCAGCTATATTAAAAAAACGAACGACATAGGTTCTACCCACCCTCATGTTTAAATTTGAGAAAATATTGGCAAGTACACGAAAGACGAGATAGGTTATTATAATGGTGAATGTTGGTCACATTAGTATTACCTAGTACCCGCCCAGAATAAGACATGTACAAAACACGGGATACGAGAGACGATTACACAGAATGTCACTTATATTTAAGTTTATATTTCGAGCACATTATTATTATTATTATTATTATTATTTGCCCTCCATTCCAGGTCACAACGCTTTACAGACAAGACTATCCGTGATATAAAACATATATTAAGTGTTTGACCTTTTTCCAAGTAAATGCATCTTCCTGCAGGACAACAGTAAATGCAAATCAATAAATAACCTTACTTTAACCATATGGTGTTTTGTTATCAATCTGTCGTGTCAGTGCGTTTTTCTTTTAACTATTTTTTTGCGCGAAAAAAAAAACAAAACAAAAATCATACAAACAACAAAAATACAGAAAAGGATGAGTATATAATTGACGCATTTTAAACACCCCAGTATCTCGTATATAACAATTGTGTGTATGTTTTGCCAATTTATACTTTGATTAGTTGAAAATCATTGAATAAACGTTATGACCGTTTAAAAGTTGTTTTATCGTAACATTAACTAATATATCATTAGGGGGGATAGTTAGTAATAGCTTTATTCATGGACCTTAATTAAAGATTAA